GTCAACACCGGCTGCTCTTGCAGAGACTGCGACTGGGAGTCCTCGTGCGTGGGTCTCAAGAGCCCGGGGACACCTGGAAGCACACGCACACGCGCAAAGGTAATGTTTCGTGTTTGCCTTCCCAGCTGGGTCTGGAGCGCTTCAACGGAGTCGGCCTCTTGGGGTTCAACTCGGCGGAGTGGTTTATGGGTGCCCTTGGCAGCATCATGGCAGGGTAAGGGCATCCCCTGGGCTCGCAGTGGGAGGTGACCCGCCCCCCACCCCCTGCCCTGGCTCCCGCTGGTTCAGACTGAGCCACGCAAAGGCTTTTCAGGCGGACACCCCTGGGGGTGGGGGGTCAGAGGGTCCCCGCTAGGCAGACACACCCACCAATCCGTGCACAATGACACCCATCTGATTGCATCCATCGGACCCGAGATTCCAGACTCCGAGTCCGTGCTAGCCTGTGCGTGACTGGGCTTTGTCACTGCGGGTGTGCTGATGATGAATGGGAGTTCTGCTGAGAGTGAGGGGTGGTGGGGAGAGGAGGAAGAGGAGGAGGAGGCGCCTCCTCTTTCTCCCACTGACCCGCTGGTGGTTTTGAACTGCTGACCTTATGATTAGCAGCCCAATGCAAAACCCACCACCCCATCAGATCTCCTGAGGATGACCCTAAAAGGAGATGATCCGTGGTCCCTGCTTAACTCAGGCTTTCTCCTCCTGGCCTTCTGGGTCAGGTCCTTCCCTGTACTACAAGCGTGTCTCCCTGGGTGGTATCCCTTCTTCTACTTCACCGTGAGCATGCCCATCAATGCTCAGAGCAGCAGCAGCCAAGAGGTCACAGATGCATTGGCTGGGGTAAATGTACCGCCAAAGACCTTCAACAAGGGTTGAAGGACAGAGAGGTCACTGACTTTGAGGACGTGGGTGCTCTTGGCTCAAGCCACGGTGTTTCAGTCATTTAGTATGCATGTGGAAGCTGGACATTGTATACGGAAGACCCGAGAAGAACCTATGCCTTTGCATTTGGGTGCTGGTGAAAAATATTGAAAGCCACACAGATTGCCCCCCAAACCCCAAACAGACCTGTTTTGGAAGAAAGAGAGTCAGAATGCTCCTGAGAAGCAAGGATGGGGCGACATCACCTTACCCACTTTGGGCATGTTGTCAGCAGAGACCAGGCCCCGGAGAAGGGCATTAGGCTGGGTCAGGTAAAGGGCAGTGGAAAAGAGGAAGGCATTTGGCAAGACAGACTGCCAGATGGACAGGGGCTGCAACCCGGGGCTCAAACACAAGAGCGATTGTGAGACTGGCACAGGACCGGCAGTGCGTCAATCTGTCATAGGACACAGGGTCCTATGAGTCAGAACCAACTCGATGGCCTTTAGCAACAACAACAACAACAACAACACACACACACACACACACACACACACACACACACGCACACGTCTTTTTAAAGAGAGAAATCCTGGAACAGAAACACCACAAAGGGTAAATTGTAGATTAAGGTCACAATGGAGAGCACCACACTCCAGCCCCTGGGATGGCCGTGAACAAGAACAAAGAGGCAGGTGGCCCATTGGGGTTACATGTGGTGTTGCCTGGAACAAGCAATGACTTCAGTGCCCTGGGTTTCAGTTGCTTCCTCTATGATGGGGAGGGGCCGTGAAGGTTCCAAGGAGCCCCTGTGGCTTGGTGATTAAACCGAAAGGGCAGCGGTTCCAACCCACCAGCTGCTCTGTGGAAGAAATATGAGGCCGGCCGCCTGCTCCTGTCGAGATTACCCAACCAAACCCACTGCCACCCAGTTGAGATGCCAGCTCACAGCCACCCGTCTGTATAGGGTTCCCAAGGCTGTAAGCCTTGACGCAGTGGTTCTCCACCTTCCTCATGCCGCGACCCTTTCAGACAGTTCCTCATGTGGTGGTGACCCCCCAACCAGAACATTATTTTCATTGCTACTTCATCACTGTCATTTTGCTGCTGTTATGAATCGGGCGACCTCTGTGAGGGTTGTTTGACCTCCAAAGGGGTTGAGAACCGCTGCTTTACAGGAACAGTGAGCCTCCTCTTTCTCCCTCAGAGCTGCTCATGGGTTTGAAGCATCAACCTTTCAGTCAGCAGCCCAATCCCTAACCCACAGAATCACCACAGCCTTGGCCATCCCAGCAGGCAGTTCTCTGCTCCCTAGGATCGAACTAATCCAGAATCGACTGGATAGCCCTGTGTTGGATTTAGGTTTGATTAGAGTTCTGCTTCCTATGGGCAAAATGACACCAGAGCTGCTGTCCCCATAAGTCTCTCTTTCTCTCTCAATGTGTACGTCACAAAAGAACTGAAGTCATTTTCAATTTTACTCTTATTCCTCAAGCTCCGACCAGACCAGTGTGTAGGTAGGTCTCATGGATAAGGAATCCGGAGGGTTTAAGGCAGCGACCCTTCTCCCCCTAAAAATAAAATAATAATAATTATTATTATTTTATCACTTGTATTATTGTTTTCTTTCTTTCATGTGGGAGTCTCACACATACCAAAAAATAGATCATAATTAATAACATAAAGATGAATAATATATACGATATGTCGTTGTATATGAGCCCATCTCATCAAAACGGTGACTGTCCCAGCAAACCCCATGCAGTGTAGTATGTGTTTATTTCTTCTGCGGCTGCTGCCCCCCTGGCCGCCTTGGCCCCTCCTCCCTCCCCCAGGCCTGACCTCAGCTTGGTCTTCAAAATCTTTTCCTTCGCTGTGAAAGCCATCCTTCCCCGCTTTCTTCCTGTATAATGCCGGTGTCATTATTATGTCTGTCCCTATCCTTAGGCAAGCACACACACGCCTGTGCTTTCTCTCCCCAGGGGCCTCTGCGTGGGTATCTACGCCACCAACTCTGCGGAGGCCTGCGAATTTGTCATCTCTCATGCCAAGGTCAACGTCTTACTGGTTGAAAATAACCAACAGCTACAGAAAATCCTTTCGGTAAACTTTTGCCCGGCGCTGTCCCCCTCCTAACCTCAGGTGTCTGCTCAGGTAGATGCCGAAGGGCGTTGTGGGTTGGGAGTTGGGGCCCCTGGGAGATCCCAGGAGCACAGCGGGCCTTCGCAGTGGCTTGCGGGGTGGAGGGGTGCATGTCCACGCAGCCTCCCTTGAGAAATGCATTTCCTCGTTCTCTCACGGGGGTGCACATTCTCTCTGTGGCGCTGTTCTAGAGAAGTTCACCTCTGTCTGGTCGCTTTCCTCAGGTCTTGTCACTGTCCCCATGCCTGCGATGGGTTTGTCTTCTTCTGCGGCTTCTCTCTGCTCGACCTCTTCCTGTGCCCCCCCTTTCTGGTATCTTCTGCCCCAGCTCTCTTATACTAACTCAGTGCTCGGCCTTTGTAGCTGTAATGCTGTCACGATTTCCCTTTGCTTCGTGGGGACGCTGCTCAAGTGAGTAACATTCACTCAGAGTAAGGATTTGCTCCTCTCTTCCAGGCTCTGATTTTCCCCCCTCGTGGTGTCTTTGAGGGAATGTGATGGGGGATGGGGTGGGGGAGGGATGGAGTTCTATACTTCATTTTTAGGCACAAGGTTCCAGCCTCTTTCATGGAATGCCTGGCTCCAACTTGCCGGTTTTCTGGATGGTGGGAACAGTGAATGCACTTGGCTGCTACCTGGAAGGCCGGGGAGTGCCTCGGAAGAAAGGCCGGGCCATCCACCTCTGAGAAGTCAGCCAGGGAAAACCGCATGGAGTGTCATAGTTTGCTGACACACCTGCGGCTGCCAGGAATCAGAGCTGGCTGCTGTTGTGCTCTTGTTGTTTTCAGCTAGACGCCAACCGAAAGGTTGGTCCAGTCGTCCCTCTAGATTCTAGAATGTGGCTTGTTCTTGACGGAGCCCTTCCAGGGAGTTCCCATCCTGATGGGGCAGCCCAACGCCATCTGAGGCACAGGGTTTCCCCGGTAAATAAGCTCGTCGTGGTTGTGAGTGTAAATAAGCTGGCATAGCGGTTGCGCATCAGGCTGGCCACTGCAGGGTCAACAGTGCCAGTTCTATGGGAGGAAGGCTGAGGCCTGCTGACTCCTGTAAACCACGCAGGGGCCGTTCTACCCTGTCCTGTGGGGTCGCTGTGAGTCGGAATCACTCAATGGCAGTGAGCTTGTCTTCCTTTTGTTGTGTTTGGAGGGAGGCTCTCGTCTTTATATGGGAGATGCTGAGGCCACAAATGACCCACCAGGGGGGGACCGGTCATCTCAGGGCAGCACCGTTTCCCAGTGTGGGCAGCAAGGAGACAGACAGCAGGTGCTGCTGGGAGAGAGGCTGATGTGCAGCTCAGGTGCCCCGGAGCAGGGCTGCTGGGAGACTCACAGGGCATTTTCTTTCAGATTTCACCCAGTAAGCTGGAGACCTTAAAAGCCATCGTCCAATATAAGGAGCCTCTGGACGACAGCATCAGCAGCGAGGTCCCCGTGTACTCCGTAAGTGGGTGAAGGGCCGGGCAGGCCGACCTGCACAGGGGATGGACCCGGTGGGGGGAGCGGGCGTGGCATAGCAAAGGAAGTGGGCGTGGCCATGCAGCAGAAGTGGGCTGTGCAAAGGAAGTGGGCGTGGCCATGCAGCCAAAGTGGGCTGTGCAAAGGAAGTGGGCGTGGCCATGCAGCAGAAGTGGGCGTGCGCAAAGGAAGTGGGTGTGGCCTTCCAAAGAAAGTGGGTGTGAGCAAAGGAAGTGGGTGTGGCTTTCTAAAGAAAGTGGGTGTGAGCAAAGGAAGTGGGTATGGCTTTCTAAAGAAAGTGGGTGTGAGCAAAAAGGGTGTGAGCAAAGGAAATGGGTGTGGCCTTTCCAAAGAAAGTGGGCGTGAGCAAAGGAAGTGGGTGTGGCCTTTCCAAAGAAAGTGGGTGTGAGCAAAGGAAGTGGGTGTGGCCTTCCAAAGAAAGTGGGTGTGAGCAAAGGAAGTGGGTGTGGCTTTCCAAAGAAAGTGGGTGTGAGCAAAGGAAGTGGGTATGAGCAAAGGAAGTGGGTGTGGCCTTTCCAAAGAAAGTGGGCGTGAGCAAAGGAGTGGGTTGGGCCTTTTAAAGGAAATGGGACATAAGCGAAGACAATGTGTGAGGCCTTGCCAGGGAGGTGGGCAAACTTTCCCTAGATAAGTGCCCGGGGTCTTTCAAAGGGAGCAGATGCTGGCTTATAAAGAGGGCGGGGCCTTGCAAATTAGAAGTGTCTTGAGCAGGGGAAGTAGGTGGGGGTCTTTGGGACTTCTTTTGTCTTCTTGACTTGAGGTTTGAGCCCACCAGAGGCGCCTGGCACGGTGGTTCGGCCTCAGAAGTCAGATCACACGAGGCCTGCCACACTCTGCCCACCAAGGTAGCCACAGAGTTCTGGGGAGGGGACTTCGACGGCAACGTTCTTTGGTTTGGTTTGTATCGCTGGATGTGTGCGCAGCAAAACCTACCCCAGTTCAACAGTTTCTTGTGTCCCCTCCAGCGAGGTGGATTCCAGCCCTCACGCTGGGCATCCATCAGACCTTCCTTTTCCGAACGGGTCCTCCCCCTGGACCGGACATGGGCTCACTGCCCCCTCAGCTTTCTCTCGGCCATCTCCTGGGGCAGTGGTCAGTTTGATCCATGTAGATAATTCTTCCAAACAGCCCCATGTCCAAGGCAAACACGCTGATCTAAAGAAGCCAATGTATTGTTTGGTTTAAGGAAGACTTTGGGGAACATTTTTCATGTAAATGTAAGGCTTAAATAGTATCTCAAGGTAGAAGTGCCAGGGTTCATCTGGGGTCCAGAGAGTCTAGAGTCTGTGAGAATGTGGTAGCTTGTCTCACCCACTCCCCTCTGTGGGTCAGGGTTTTCCTATAGGATCATTGGTGAAAATATTCAGTAATGGTAATAGGGCAATATCTAGTACTAGAGGTCTCAGAGCTCGGGGGCCAGTGCTCATGGAGACAACTAGCTGCCCATCTGGGTGGTCCTCCTATCCCTGATTCTCTTTCCTCTTTTGCCCCAGGCGATAGAAGACCAATCCTTGTACCTTGGATTCCATTCCACCCCTTGCTTCTCTCTCCACAGATTTTACCTTTGTTGCCTTTAATTCTTGTAAACCCTAGCATCTTCCCTGGCCTCTCTCATTTTGTCACAATCTCTCACTTGTTGTCTAAGGTCAGTCCATCTAACCGACCAGCTGCCCCGAGGTAGAAAGATGAGCCGGCCTATCTCTGTAATGATTACAGCCTCACAAACCCTACTGAGCAGTTCTGTACTGTTCTGTAGGGTTGCTGTGTGTCAGCATTGACTCCGGGCCAGTTAGTGTTTTACGGGGAATCCAGTGAAGTAAGGTGAAAGATTAGAGTTAGACGCTTAGGGGTCAATGAGTTCTTGGTTGAGTGGCGGTCAGGTGCCATTGAATTGATCCGACTCATAGCAACCCTCCTACCTACAACCGAACAAAACGCCGCCTGGTCCTGCATCACCCTCCCAGTTGTTAGGTTGGCGCCCATTGTGGCAGCCGCTGCGCCCATCCATCTTGTCCTCGGTCATGTGTGGAGTGCTCTGGCACCGCCTCTGACACTGTGCTCTTCTGTCCACCAGGTTCTCAGTGTCTCAGTGTCCCACTGCTGTCCACAGGCTTTCAGTGGCATGTCTCTGAAGTCCTCGCCTACACCAGTGCTTCCCCACCATCCTCACGCCGCGACCCTTTCATCCAGCTCCTCGTGTGATGGGGACCCCCCAACCATCACCTTATTTTCGTTGTTACTTCATCGTTGTCATTTTGCTACTGTGATGATTCAGGTGACCCTTGTGAAAGGGTCGCTCGACACCCCCCCCCAGGGGTCGCGACCCACAGATTGAGAACCACTGGCCTACAGTCATGCAGTCTGTTCTTAGTCCGGAAGCTCTGCTGAAACCTGATCACTTCCGGGTGCTCCTGCTGGTCTGTGAAGTACCAGTGACAGCGCTTCCAGCAACACGCAAGCCTCCCTAGTACCGCAACCGTACTACCTGACACCGCGCAGCTTACTGGGGACGTAGAGCAGGGGAAGAACAATTCAGAATTATACACCAAGGAACGGTTGGACGGGTGCCTGGTTTTGCCGTGTCTGTTATTTTCAACAGCAATAAAATAACCTGAATTCAAAACAAAACAAAACACACAGACACTATTCCCAAGATTAGGAGCCCTGGTGGCATAGTGACTTATGCAGGGGCCTGCTCACTGCCAGGTCAGCAGTTCAAAACCACCAGCTGCTGGGCAGTGGGCAGGGGGTGGGGTGGAGGATGAGGCTTTTTACTCCCGTCAAGAATTACAGCAGCGGTTCTCAACCTGTGGGTCGAAACCCCTTTGGGGGTCGAACAACCTTTCACAGGGGTCGCCCGATTCATAACAGTAGCAAAATGACAATGATGAAGTAGCGATAAAAATAATTTTATGGTTGGCGGGTGTCACCACAACATGAGGGACTGTATTAAAGGGTCGCGGCATTAGGAAGGTTAAACCGCCGAATTGCAGTCTTGGAAACCCCACAGGGGGTGTTCTGCGCCTCTCCCAGTCGGCTCACTGACTCGGAATGGTCGCTGTGGCAGCGGGTTTCGCTTGGAATCCCAGGGTAACAACCCAACCAAGTGAAAACAATAGTTCAGGGCTAGACTTTCCAGAGGTTCCAGTGGCCACCATCAGACTGTGGGGTGGGAGAGGAGGCAGTGCATCCGATGCACTGGGGATGGGGGATGACCTCTTTGACCTCCAACCACTGGGTACCAGTAAGCCATACTGGACCACTTACCATGGGACTAGTGCTGCCCCCTGGTGATGCCAGCCTGGAACGAGAGCCTTAGGGAACAATGGCGAGTGACCATGAACCGCCCCATCCAACCCGCTGTGCAATGAACCCTGCTCACAATGAGCCCGATGAGCCCGGGTAGGCATGACAGTCTAACTGCGCTCCTTAAGTAGATCAACAGGCTTCTCTTTCGAGGCTCCTCTCAGTGGGTTTGAACGCCAACCTTTTATCTAGTAGCCAAGCCTTTTAGTTAGACCTTTGTGCCACCCAGGCTCTCTTTGTGGAGCCCAAAGGGATGAACACAAAAGCCCATCGAGGACCAGGTGATTACAAGAACTGCCCCATAGCGTTCGCGTGCCTGGCGCCCCCATGTGGTACCAAGTAGAACTACCCCATACCGCCCCCATGTGGCACAGGGTAGAACTGTCCCATAATGGTTCTGTGGCTGGCGCCCCTGTGTGGCACAAAGTAGAGCTGCCCTATAGCATTTGCGTGGCTGGCACCCCCATGTGGCACAAGGTAGAACTGTCCCATAATGGTTCTGTGGCTGGCGCCCCTGTGTGGCACAAAGTAGAGCTGCCCCATAGCACTTGCATTGCTGCCATCCTAAGGATGGCAACTCTAGACCTTTTTTCCCATGCTGACCCTGGGTCGATTGGAACCGCTAACCTCTTGATTGGTCGCCAAGCACAAATGGCTTTCGCCTCTGGGGATCATTAACTCCCACCGAGGAAGGGGAACTCCTGGGCAGGCCCCCACCCGCTCACACCGGGATGCCCCACTCTGCTTCCCCTCTCTTCCTGCAGTGGGATGACTTCATGAAGCTTGGTTCCAGCATCCCCGATATCGAGCTAGACCAGATCCTTGACAGCCTGCAGGCCAACCAGTGCGCTGTGATCATCTACACCTCGGGGACCACCGGCAACCCCAAGGGCGTAATGCTCAGCCACGACAACGTAAGAGTCCGCTCCGCCCGCCCCAGGATGGAAACGTGGTCAGCAGAGGGCCCTTCCTCCCAGTTTGCTTCAACTCACTGGGCGGGCTGAGTTCTGGGGTCTGAACTCAGAGGTTCCGAGCCCCTTGTTTCTGGCCCCCAGAACCTAACCCACCAGCATGCCGGCTTGGTTCTAACTCAGGGGGCTGAGTGGAAGGGTGCCCGGTAGGGCTCACCGTGGGCAGTGGACTTTTCAGGAGTCACTTGACTCGGGTGGATCGGAACTGCCACATGGGAGGCCACGGGTACCGCCCTAGGGCTCCTTGTGGGACCCAAAAGCAGTCCTTTCTTCCGCCGTCACTCCGAGTGGATCAGCTGTGTCCTGCACCAGACCCAGTGGCTGTTGGGTGCCTTTGAGCCCATGGCTGCCCCAGGTGACAAGATGGTAGAACTGCCCCCGCGGGGTTTCCTAGAATGCCACCCTTAAGGTGTGTGTCTGGGGGAGGGGGGTGGATTGCCAGGTTTTATTCCTGTGGCAACACTGGGTGGGTTCTCACTGCCAATCTTTGGTCTAGCAGCGGAGCTCTAGGCAAAGGCTCTGCATAGCCCTGAAGCAGTTTGCTGCGTTCTGCAGCTCATTCGAGCCCGGCTGTGCCCTCTGTTCCTGCCTGTAGAATGGGGAGAATTGTTATCTTAGCCCAAGTTTTGAAGAGGAACAAATAACAGTGTGTGCATGTGGGTGTGAAAGAGTGTGTGTGTGTGTGTGTGTGTGTGTGTGTGTGTAGGCGCCCCAGTGGCTTAGTGGTTACACACATTGCACTGCTAACTGCAAGGTCAGCAGTTCAAAGCCACTCGCCGCTCCACAGGGGAAAGACGAGGCTTTCTGCTCCCAGAAAGAGGTGTAGTCCTGAAACCCCCAGGGGCAGTTCTGCCCTGTCCTAGGGGATCGCTAGATGCTGAACTGACTCAATGGCAGCGAGTTTGGCTTGACTGTGGTTTGGTGTGTGTGTGTGTGTGTGTGTGTGCGTGTGTGCACGCGCACAGTGCCTAGCACGTAATGTCTGCTGATTTTCAAAACCTCCACTGCAGTCGAGTGGATTGGGACTCCCAGCGACCTTGAGGACAGAGTGGAAGCTGCCCCCGCAGGGCTGCCCCCCACGGCTGACAAGGCTGTAGATCTTCCCTGAAGCCAGCCCCCTCCTGTTTCTGCCACAGAGCAGCTGGGGGTTCGAACCTGGGTGGCAAAGGCAGCTTGTGTTCCAGATCACGTGGATGTCCGGGGCCGTGGCCAGGGAGTGCTGCCTGTCTTTGGCCCCAGAGAAGCAGGAGACGGTGGTCAGCTACCTCCCCCTCAGCCACATCGCAGCCCAGATCATGGACCTGTGGATACCCATCAAGGTCGGGGGGCTCACCTACTTTGCTCAGCCAGACGCGCTACGGGTAAGATGTGGGCAGGGGGAGTTCCGCTCATGGGACCCTGGCTTCCTCACAGCCCTGCTCTGCAGCTCCAGGGAGGGGCTCTTTCTCTGCCCCCTCCCCGCCCACGCAGGCCCCCAGGTCACAGCTTTGGGAAGAGTCGGCCGGCCATGTTCTTTAACTTTTCTTCTTCTTTCAAGTCAGGGCGCCCATGTTTGGGGGTGTGGGCCTTCCACTGGGCAGTCCACGATGGAGCTGTGAATACCTGATGTGTAGTGTGTGTGTGTGTGTGTGTGTGTGTAGTATGTGTGGATAGTGTTTGTGTGCAGTGTGTCTATAGTGTGTATAGTATATGTGTGTGTGTGTGTGTGTAGTATGTGTGGATAGTGTTTGTGTGCAGTGTGTCTATCATGTGTGTATAGTATATGTGTATAGTGTGTGTGTGTAGTGTCTGTGTATAGTGTGTGTATAGTGTATGTGTGTGTGTACAGTGCATGTATAGTGTGTGTATTGTGTGTATAGTGTATAGTGTGTGCATAGTATGTGTATAGGGTGTATATAGTGTTTGTGTATAGTGTGTGTAGTGTGTGTGCATAGTATGTGTATAGTGAATGTGTAGTGTGTGTATAGTGTGTGCATAGTATGTGTAGTGTGTGTATAGTGTGTATAATGTGTATAGTGTGTACAGTGTGTCTGTATAGTGTGTGTATAGTGCATATAGTGTGTGCATGTAGAGTGTGTAGTGTGTGTTTATAGTATGTGTGTATAGTGTGTGTAGTGTGTGTAGTGTATGTATACAGAGTGAATATAGTGTGTGAGTGTGTAGTGTGTAAGTGTGTAAGTGTGGTGTGTGTATAGTGTACGTGTATAGTGTGAGTATAGTGTGTGTGTATAGTGTGTGAGTGTACATAGTGTGAATGTATAGAGTGTGAGTATAGTGTGTGCATGTGTATGTAGTGTGTGTATATAGTGTGTGTGTGGGTACGTAGTGTGAGTGTATAGTGTGTGTGAATGTGTACAGTGTATAGTGTGTGTGTACAGTGTTAGTGTACAGTGTGTGTATAGTGTGTATATAGTGTGAGTGTATAGTGTGTGAGTGTGAGTATAGTGTGTGAGTGTATATAGTGTGTGTAGTGTATATATAGTGTGTATAAATGTGTAGTGTGTGAGTGTACAATGTGTGTGTAGTGTGTGTAGTGTACATGTATAGAGTGTGAGTATAGTTTGTGCGTGTGTATGTAGTGTGAGTGTATAGTGTGTGAGTGTGTACGTAGTGTGAGTGTATAGTGTGTGCGTGTGTATGTAGTGTGAGTGTATAGTGTGTGCGTGTGTATGTAGTGTGAGTGTATAGTTTGTGCGTGTGTACGTAGTGTGAGTGTATAATGTGTGCGTGTGTATGTAGTGTGAGTGTATAATGTGTGCGTGTGTACGTAGTGTGGGTGTATAGTGTGTGCGTGTGTACATAGTGTGAGTGTATAGTGTGTGAGTGTGTACGTAGTGCGAGTGTACAGTGTGTGCGTGTGTATGTAGTGTGAGTGCACAGTGTGTGCGTGTGTATGTAGTGTGAGTGTACAGTGTGTGAGTGTGTACGTAGTGTGAGTGTATAATGTGTGAGTGTGTACGTAGTGTGAGTGTATAGTGTGTGCGTGTGTATGTAGTGTGAGTGTATAGTGTGTGAGTGTGTATGTAGTGTGAGTGTATAGTGTGTGCGTGTGTATGTAGTGAGTGTATAATGTGTGCATGTGTACGTAGTGTGAGTGTATAGTGTGTGAGTGTGTACGTAGTGTGAGTGTATAGTGTGAGTGCGTACGTAGTGTGAGTGTACAGTGTGTGAGTGTGTACGTAGTGTGAGTGTATAATGTGTGCGTGTGTATGTAGTGTGAGTGTATAGTGTGTGAGTGTGTATGTAGTGAGTGTATAGTGTGTGAGTATGTATGTAGTGTGAGTGTATAGTGTGTGAGTGTGTATGTAGTGTGAGTGTACAGTGTGTGAGTGTGTATGTAGTGTGAGTGTACAGTGTGTGTGTACCTAGGGATGTGGTGGTGCTGGTGCTGTCAGGTGGACTCGGACTCAAGTCCACCCCTATGCGACAGAGTAAAACCGCCCTAGGGCTGTGCAGGTCAGTGTTTCTCAAAGAGGGGTCTGCCACCCCCTGGGGCGCTGGAACGACAGGGGAGGGCGGATACTTAGGGTGTATCCACTAGGTACCTACTGCACTTTATCCAGGAGTCCTGGTGGGTGGTGGTTACGCACGGGGCTGCTAACGACAGGATCAGGAGTTGGAAACCATCGGCCACTCCTCAGGGGAAACACAGGGCTTTCTCCTCCCAGAAAGAGCCACAGTCCCGCGTGGGCCCTCTTTTTATCTCCTTTGGTGAGGTGTCTGTTCAGATCTTCTGCCCACTTAAAGCTTTGGCTGGATGCCTTCTTACAGCAAGTTTTCGTGTATTGGCTAACAAGTCCTTTATCAGTCGTGGGCGTTCCACGTACTTCCTCCTGGTTCTGTGGCCTGTCAGACATGGGCATTCCACACACTTCCTCCTGATTCTGTGGCCTGTCAGACGTGGGCATTCCACGTACTTCCTCCTGGTTCTGTGGCCTGTCAGACGTGGGCGTTCCAC